TTGGCATCGTTGGATAGAGAATTGAAAAGTCGATTCAGTCGTAACAACGTGAGTGAGGAAATTCGAGTAGTTTTGACCCAGAAAGTGAAATTTGAACATCAAACACTTAGGTACAAGATTATGCCAAAATGTCATGTTTTCCGTCCCGTTTTTGCTCATATCTCGGAGGCAAAATGAGCCAGAACGCTCATTTGTACATCATTCTAGACAGAAATAAATGGCCTTTTTAGAAAGTAAACCATGGATGGGAAAATGTTGGCAGTTTTCCCAAAAAATGCATGAATTCAAGAAGTTTTAGATTTGCGTGTTTTTTTTTGAGTTGCAAAATCCACTTGAACATGACGCTGCTCTTTTCGAAGTTTCTCAAGAACCATTCGAGCCAGAGAATTCGTTTAGGCATCGTTGGATAGAGAATTGAATGGGGATCCCCCCTGAATCCGCCCTTGGTTGGAACACTAGTTAATTATATCGAACTGAATTTTCCAAGGATCGTCAAGACGCCTTATTAGTCCCTTCATAAAAGGATTTGGCTTCCAGCCAGAACAACAACAGTTAGATTTGACAAGAAATGTGTGAAATTACACAAGATCCCAATACGGTAAGGATCAAAAACGGTGATTTGCTTTAAATGTGGGCAAGTGTCGCAGGAATTCCTGTTTGTCGAAAAAAGTCGACAAACCCGCGACAGTAAATGCGAGAATCAAGGAATGGCCAATGCATTCAGAAGAGGTGAAAATAAATGTTTCAAATGTCCTAAAAGCCACTAAAGTTTCATGTGGAAGCTCATTTGCACCTCATTAGCCAGCGAAGAACCAATTCGGTGTGTTTCAATGCGTTTCGAATGAGCAAACAAGATTTCGGCTGTTATTCGCTCATTGCTGGCACTTTTGAAGCAAACTATCGACTTTTATCACTAATCATCCCATGAAAATCAATCCCAAATATTTCGACTTTAAAACTGCCACTCCCCATGCAGTATTCGCAAAATCTCCCAAATTTTCGGCATGATTATGGTAAAAATGTGCCAACAAAATGCCTCACAATGCCAACCAATGATTATTTGTTCAAACCTTGGATATGGCACAATACTTGTTTAACTTGGCGGCGACTTTTCCTGCAGATGTTTCAGGCGATTTAATGGAAATTAGAAAAACAGACAAGACGAAAAAAGCATGTTTACATGCGACTGGCACATATTTAAATGTCGTTAGGTGAAAGTGCCGGCTTCATTGGGTTGAATTTAACGTCCAAAGTCGATTGAGGTTGCGGGAATGTAATGGTCAACACGATCTTGGTAATGGACGGTTAAGCGGATTAAAAGCCCTCATTATTTTAAATCAATCTAAATGTTGGCTTAAAAAGCGTCGGTGGAAAACAGGGAAGTCAGATCATAAAACAGATCCTAGACGCAGGGATCCAGGCATTCTGACTTCCGGACAATCCGGTAAAATATCTGCAGACAATTCTGGACGATTTCCAGGCCGCTGGAAATATTTTTAATTGGAAATTACTACGTAAAGTAATTCCAAGAAATACGTCCCAGACTGATGCAGGGCATTACCACAGTTTAATCACTTCGGATCTGTTCTTAGATTGCGACAAGTGGCCAGCACATGTTTCCAGATCCCGAACATAATTTCCCACGGGTGTCTCCATTCCTCTACATGTATTTTCGCCTCCTAAACCCGAATTTAAAAAATGTGTTTGTCTCAGATCGGTTCCGTATTGTTTTATTTTAGCGGTCGTGGCGTAATCAGTGACACTCAACGAATGAAAAACGGGATTTCGAACACTTTCAATGCGCAAAATGTTAATTTAATTTGTCTTTCCGGCCATATTGACCTAAATATACAGAATAATATATTTATGTGTTAATATTGATTTTAATTAATAACTTCATTATGCTAACGCTCCAGAACCGAAACTAATTAGCAATTAATCAGCATCGAGGATTAGCAAATGCTGATGGATTTTGCCCTTAAATGAGCGCTGGGAAATAATTTCGATACATTTGCGTCATTAATATCAAATAAATGTAGTGGCCAGTTATATAGACCAGCAAAAATAGCAGGCGATTCACCCATTTATACCTGCCCATRGGGATTTTTTCTGCTGCTTTAGATTTTTTYGTTGGATTCTTCAGAATCRCCCTTGAAAGTACTCTTKTATTTTTTAGGGTAATCCAGATGATTCAGACGTTTTATATCCGGATTAGCAAGGAAATTATTGCATGATTCWGYTARTKTYTTAGACGTCCCCAAGCGTCGAGCTGTGAACGCGTAAACTGTTATGCCATACAAGTTAACCGTTTCAACATAGAAAAAGTTGGAAATTTATTTACGAAACACAATCAGAAGCTGTTGRTTTGRCTGCCAATAATAAAGAAYATTACGTGGRTRACCAGATCWCTCCTAAGTAGGCATTCTACGTTTCGAATTGCGGAGATTTTGCGCAAATTGCACTGCATTATGAAAACAGTTCACGTCACGGACGCCCTGTATATGATGTCTTTGAAAGAAAAAATCTAAATCAACAGACAAAAATTTCACAAAACCAACCTGAACGTCGAAATTATGCTGCTGCTGCTGCAAAACCGCGCTGTCCACCTGGTGTTGTTGTTGGGCAGCTGCATACTGCTGGTGTTGATGCTGATGTTGATGCTGGCTTTGCTCATATCCTTGGCTCACGACCGCCTGAAATATCATTGATGTTAAAATTCAGCTGGAGTGGCGCAAAACTGCCAAAAATACCTGTTGCGACTCAACAAAGTGATCAGCGAACTGCTGATTGACGCTTTCGGCAAGGGTGACGCCCAGATGAGGACCCAAAGGATGATGGGGAGGCAGATGGTGCAGCGCGTGCTGTTGGTGAGGATGAAGCGGACCTCCGCCACCATCAACAGGGGGCGGCTGCTTTAGCACCAAGCCCATAGTTGCGGGATCGAGTCCTGCAATACCTCCAGCAGTAACAACACCGTTTTTGTTTAAATCATCTTCTGCAGGGGAGGGTTGTCTACTACCTGGTGTGCGACTGGAACAAAATGCATTATTAAAAACCGTTCGAGTTAGCTCATTCATCCACCAATGCGTGATGATCCACCACCGGAATTAGCAATGTCAGCCGGAAAAAACGCCGGGTTTATACAATTCAATGCTTAATTGAAGGATTAACAGGAGCCAACACCAAGCAAAAACTGCTAAAGAAAACCCCGAATCCCAACCCGAATGGAACTGCTCGAAAATTAATTGTTCAACTTATTTGCTTCAATTATCAGACAGTGTCTTTCCCGTTGGTTTGTTGAAACATTTTGGCGATCTATGATTTATAACACAGACATAGCGGGTGAGCGCATTCACCAATTCATACCAATTCCGAACATCCACCACAGATGGATGGACCTTGATTTCGCCACTATGTGGTAAAGGCAAAATAACGTTCTCCTTCAATGATTAATAATATTATAAATGTTTACTGTCCCCTCTAGAAGCTGTTGGAAACGTTCAAATTGCCTACGTTTGATGGAACGGAGTTAATTCAGTTGCATCAATTGATTATGAGGCACATTCGCTCATCGCAATTGCCACGTTGACACAATTTCTTTGCAGCCAATTAAAAAATTGCAAATAATTAGTGATACCATTGTGAAATGCGCGATTAATTCACCGAAATAACGTCTAAGGGAAAACTGTTCCACCTAGCCAGAAAATAACACTTGGTAGTGTTAGTTTCAGGATAAACCCACCTGATAAGAACTAGAACTAGTTTCGAAATCGGCTCTGAGGATGGAGAGATTCAGACAACTTTATCCAAAACCCATATTTTGTAGCGGTTTTCGAAAATTCTCGTATATTGAGCATCGATTGATTAAAATATCGGTTCAACAAAACAATAGGGAAACCGAGTTTGACTAAAAAAAACGGAAAATATTCAAGAAACAGTGAATTTGCAGTAAACTCATAATACGATAAATGTGCAGGTAGATTACAGAAGACTGCGATGTGCAGTGGTGTCGTGCTCATGCGTCATGAGTTTTCAAGTGTTATTTATGGCGGTTTATGGGAGATTTTCATGTGTTTACATGGCGATGTCGACGGCTTGTCGCGTCGATACAATGCGTCAACACCTTTTATGATTCAGCGAACTGATAATGCGATAAAATAAATGAGGCGAGGTGCTGTACGCATTGACACAGAGAGCGGCATCAACACAAAAGTGTCATGCAACACAGCGTCACACAGGCCTAATAGAGTTGAGATAATGCGCACATGCGCGACTCTTTGTGTAGGATTGCGCCTACGTAAGTTCGGTGTCCTCAAATGCCGCGAAGAAATTTATAGAAACTCTTCACATAAATAACAGTTTTTGGGTTATTTTCAGGTATAAATAAAGCATTCCATCTTCGGCAAATTCATGGCTACACATTCCAACAACTCATCGCGCATTATGGATGCAAGAAAACTATTAATTATACATGTAAACCGAATGAATCGGCGAGTTGTGGTGAGGCTGCCAGCAGTGCGAAACTATGTGAATTAGGAAGGCAAATAAACGTCGCACAGGATCAACGAACTAGTGTCGAAAACAAACAATTCAAGCGACAATTATTTAGCAACGAACAGCTGATGTTAAGAAGCGCATTGTTCAATGAGGAAATTTCACAGAAACGGATTAAAGGAAACGATTGAGGCGTTAAGGGCGAGGAACTGAATAAAGCAGCGTCTCCAGCATGAGTTCCTTTGAAGAAACCCAACACTCCCAGACACGTGAAAAGAAGTGAAAAGTTAGGGTCTTCAACATATAAAATTGCATACTCAGCCCAGTTAACAACCTTATCCTTGAACGCGATTGCGATAATGTTTCGAATGTCGCTAATTTCGAAAGTAAATAAAAACAGTGGAACAATCATGAGCCGATACGGTGCTGGGTCAGTTTCCGCAGATCCACCGGCTTCACTTGGTTCAAGGTTTGCTGTCTACCTTGGCGCTCGAGTCAATGACACGTGTGTTGAGGCGCCGTTGCCAAGTTTCGCTCGTCAAAATCCTCAACTAAATCGAATCAATCCCACAAGCTGGCGGCTGCGAAGATTATCAAGGGACAGTAAGTGGAAAACTATTTACAGCTGAACCAACGATCCGAACTGATTACGTTATCTGTAAACTCCTAGATACTCGAATACTGCATTGGGAATCAATCGTGCTCATAATATTGATAAAATTTACAATTTAGTGGATGCAACAATATTGGCAACTAACTCATGTTTCTATAAT